CCTCCCCAGCCTTATCTCAGGTCCTGAGGGCCTCCCAGGGCAGCAGCAGTGCTAATTTGGCTGCTTGGAGCCTGAACATCTTCCAGTATCAAATTTTGGCACTGCACTACAAATTAGCAGTGTAGCACATGGGTGCGTATGCACCATGTGCAATTTGTGGTGCCTTAAACAGTTTTGAGGCACTGCACGTGCAAGCTCTTCTGGACACACCCATAAAGAGAAAAACAAAAAAAGAGCACAAGCCCCTGATTTTTTTCTGTTTGAAGGTCACCTGTATGTGTAAGAGGATTCTGCCTGCACCTGCTGTAATATAAATGCCTGTGCTGGATAAAAATAAAATGTTCAAAGTTAAAACAAAGATAAGAACATCTTTCCCTGGAACTAAAGGAATATTATATGCACAGATTTGTAAATCTCTGTGCAATATAAAGGTCACAAAAATGTTTCTTCTCAAGACAAAATGGTTACAAGACTATCATTGTTGCCTTTTGCTGAACTATTTTTCCTGCAAAGGAAAGTAATACAATAGACTTTCAGTTTCTAAATATCCCTATGACAGGCAGAGTTTATAATAATTGTATTAAATTACAGTTGGGCCTGAACTAAAGACTTAGAGCTGAGTGCATCTGAAAAGTGAAACAGATACTTCCAAATCCAGATCTCCCTTCTGCAGTCTGGGTCCACCCACAGTTAAAATATGTGCCTGCTAGCCCAATAGAAACCCTTTACATGAAATACATTTCAATTACACAGCCTAACTCACAGATTATCTTCCTGTCATAGCATATATTGAAACCCTATGTAAGAACAGATATACAGTAAGAGTCTGGACAGTTTTAATGCTCTTACAAAGTCAATTTGTTCCAGAGATAATGTCTTAAAATTACTGACACATTGAGCAATTTGGTTCCTTTACGTTCACTAACAGAATAAATCTAGTGACCACCTACAGGTACAAAAATTAAACTGAGACTAACAGGGATTTTGATGAAGCTACACTTCTATAATGATGCAAATTAAGATTTAAACATTGTAACAATAGACCATTGCTAATCCTTTTACAGCGGTGTAAATAGCTATTCAGATTTTGATTTCAGACCGCCTGCTTTGTTAAGGAGTTTCAACAGAAGAACTCCACGAAGCAACAACACAGCTGGGCTAAAAGCTTTATCTAAGAAGTGTGGTAACCAAAACAAGGCTTTTTTTGTAACATATACTAGCATGTTATATTTTGTTCATTTTGGAAGACTGGTCATGATCCCTCATATAAAAAGGTGAAATACAATGTCACTGAATTCTGCTAAGCTCCACTGCAATGCTGAAATACACTTAGAGCCCTGTTTACCCCTAACAATGTTTGCAAACAATGAAAAAATTAAGTCTGAACAGTTCTGTATCCAGTTCAGGTTTTTAGACTTTTAACACATACAATAGTACCAGAGAGATCACATATGCAGTTAAACAGTGCTTTTTCTTTACTAAAGTCTAACAAAACCTGTATTTTAGTGGCTAGCTCATTTCCTATTGTTTTACTCCCTCTGGGTGGTCTTTCCAGGGTGCCACTTGAAGGGAATACAATAATAAAAAGAAGGGGAAGGAAGGGACACCAACATAAAGAAAAACAAAATGTATGACAATCTGCAGCAGGCTATGGATCAGAGGTCAGCAAACAAGGGGTCCTTCTCTTTTACAGGTTGCTTCCTGGAAACAGTCTGATTAAGCTGACAGCTTGAATTATGTGTTACATTTTGTAATGCACCATCCATCTGCGCTAAGTCCTCTTCAATGCAGCTGAAGCAACATAGGCATAAGCTCTGACTGCCCCCCCTTCCCTTCACGATAGGCCTTAAAATAGTCATCATCTTTCTGTGCACTAATTCTCAGAGTTTGGGGTTTTTTTAAGCCCTTAAATAAAGGGTTGGATGGCTTTGAGGAATGGTAAAAGGATGTGGAACCTTTCACCTCGAGTTCACCAGTTCAAATCTGTAACAAGTCACTAGAGACCAAAAGTTGTTATTTGATAGCTGTTCAATACCTTACATAGAATGAATTGCAGGTCTTAAGTACCATTTCTAGTAAGCAAGGTGACATCATGTAACCTACAACCAAAACAAGCAAAACCTAAAATACTTGTTGACAGTCTCATCAGAGAAACCAAAAATTGAACAGGTACCAAAACAAACTATTTATCTACCCTATTTGGTAAATTCAACCCATAATGAGGGTGATGGTGGAATGTTCTAAAGACACTTGAACTGTCCATATCTTATGGAAAGAGAGAAAAAAAATAATCTGTCAATCCAAAATTGTACTAAATTTACTTACTGATATTACGTTTTGTTAATTTTAATAATCTGAGCACCAAAATGGTTTCATTCAGTTGTTTAGGAAAGTGCTACACCTAAGTGTGCATCCTTGAGAGCGATAACAAGCTTTTAAAAACCTGTTATCATAGCAGCATCACTCATTTATTTCTAGTTAACAGCTTGTCAGTATTTCCAAGACAAACATCATACTTCGAACACTTATAACTGGGCTGTAAAAATTCACTCTTGGGTAAAATGTGACATACAAAGGCTTGTCTGAAAGACACTTTTAAAGAAAAAACAAAAGACCTGGTTGCAATCATATCTGTGGAGGTTAACTATGAAAGGCTAAACTGCTTCTCCAGTAGCTTTGATACAGATAATGTCAGTTGTAAGCCAGTGACTTGTCAGTGCGCAATAAGGATTTTTTTTTCTTTATGGCTTGGTTTGGTTTTAATTGAGTGAAACGGTGACCTCAGAACTGTTTGTCTGTGTTCTCTTTTCCACCCCACTTATTAATTCCAACCAATAGGTCTGAAATATACAAATGAACCAAAGAGGAAAGGTAATGAATAGAAGAGTTAGCACCAACATTACAAAAGCCATTGCTTAATAAAGAACTGATACACCAAGAGGATGCAAACTATTTCACTTACATAAAACATTAATACATTTTTTTCATAATTACAAGCCCATTTCTCCAAATGCAGCCAATGTACTAGCCTTTTCTTATTTTAAGTAAATAATAATTCCATGGAATGTCTGACTGTTAAAACAAGCCATTTGGAGATTAGAAGACCACCAATAAATATACATTCAGACCACACTACAAAAACAGGTCTTGTGTGTGGTATGTGTGCGTGTGCATATGTGGGCACATATGTGCACAAATATATGCATGTACATGTATATGCATAAAAGCATACTTATAAAAGTTATTTTTATTCATCTATGCATTCCACAAATTTACTTACTAATCACTTAATAACTTTGCAAATGGGTTCTCCTTCCATTTGCAAGTCACACTGAAAACTACAAAAACATTAAGGTTTCACTTTCAGGAGTGGGGGACAGTGGATCACAATACTTCCAAGTAGTAAACTTAGCAATTAAAAACCACCTGATATTCCATAGGGTCTGTCACAGATACAAGTATTTTCTATTCCACCTTCATTTTAATTTTTAAAAAAACCCCTAATATGGGTATCTTCTGCAGAAGCATGCAAAATAGCGATCACATTTTTGTGACCTTGAGAAACAGAAACATTCAACTTGACATAATTTTAAAGAAAAATCTTTGCATTCTGTGTTCAGATAAATTCTAGAAATATAGTAACGAGACCAATGAAAGCTTCCCTGCAAGTTGCCCAGGCTTCAAGAACACCATATAATATTTCAATCAGTTTATCAACAGCTAAAAATAACTAGGATCTACAGGGACAGAACAAAAGGCTAAATTACCACTGGCTCGGCTATGACTCTTCTGGCAAAAGCAAACACTTTATCAAACTTTCTTATGAAGTGTTATGATTAACAGGTATTGTACAAAAGAAAAACTGTGTAAAAGCTATTTAGATGAAAATTAAATGAAATTTCCTTAGTAAGCTATAGTCTGATCCATGGTTTGCAAATTTAAAATAATGTAGTTACAGAAGTGTATTTTAATAGGAGTTTATATTTTTCTGTGCTCAACTCATCTTTTAAAATATAAACTGCTACCAAAATCATTATCTAGTAAGATTACATGCACATGTGCCTACATAAAAAGCACAGATATGTTAAACACACAGGTACAAATGACCAAAGAGAAAAAACTGCCAGCAGGGAAACTGGTAAAAAAAAAAAAATCCTCTACAAGCCTCATTCATTCTTGTTGGATAAAAATGCTGTTTTTGTTGGCTGTAAGTTTCCTTCTCAACCTAATGCAACAATTTTTATTCCTATTCTAATCCGTATGCTTCTACTCACCACCTGATATTTAACCATTTAATCTTTAAATATTTTTTGTGACTTGTTCAGGAATAAAGGGAAAATTCCAATAAAAGCTAGAAAGCTAATGGAGAGTGCATGTGGGAGAAAAGGGGCTTTCCCTAAAAATGTTGCTAGCAGGAAGACAGGACCCTTAATTATAAGGCTGGGCAGCAGGGGGAGCTGAATTGAGCAAGAGAAGCAAAGGGAAAATGCAGGTAAATGTGCCACTGAAGAAAAGTAGGCATTGTCAAGTTCACAGCTAGAACCTTTCCAGTTAGATACTAGAGACAGCAAAAAGGAAGAAAAACAGCTGATGGAAAAATAAGGTAAAGGAGGGAACATGAGGGAAGGAAACCTTGCAACAGAAACTGGTTATGATCAGCCAGGAGTGGATCCAGAGAGGTAAGTGGTATAGACGCACTTCTCTGTTTAGCCAACCAAGTTGAGGAGCAGCAACTGGAGATTTTTTATTTAAGTTCCCAAAGCAAGTAAGATTCTCTCCACTTCCCCACCATGCTCAGTTGCACCTGCCCTCCCCTTCCCTGTCCCCCCTCCTCTGCTCACCACTGCTGCCATTGCTGGCTGCCTCTGGGATGTGGCAAGGACAGGGGAGCTCCAAAGACATTGCTGCCCCCTCCAGTAGAGCTCCACATTGAATTAGGCTCAGTCAGGAACAGTGGCAGCAGCAGGCAGGTCCCTCCTCCCCGCCCAGTCCCCATAGTGTTTCCTGCCAGCTCAGGAGCAGGCACAGAGGAAAGGAACCTAGCTGCTGCTACTGCTGCCATGTCTAGCCAAGCCTGGTTCCAGGTGCAGCCTAGCTGCAGCGGGGCAGAATCCTTCTGCAGCCCCACCACCAGCCCTGGGCCAGCTGTGGCAGTGGCAGATGGGGGAAAGGGAGAACGGAAGAAATGGGGAGGGACTATGCTGCTGAGCACAAAGAGAAAAAGAAGGTGTGGAGGGAAGATTTGTAGCTGCTTGAGGGACTTAAAAGGAAGTCCTTGGTTGCTGCTCCTGCAATATAGTCTACCTGCCGTGGTATGGCAGGGTGAGGAGAAGCTAGGAGCCGGGGTGCATCCACCCCTGCAGCACAGGTTGCTGCTCCCACACACACCCTTTCTGAAATCCTGGTTCTGCCCATGTGACCAGCAGTACTGGATGACTTCCCTGAGGAATTAGGAAGTGGGGAGAGAGCCGGGAAAAGAGTAAAGAAGGGCCATCCCTTTGAGAGTGGAGTGGAGAAAGGAGGCAGAATGGAAGAGGCAGAACAACGTAACAAGGCCCACACAAACAAACAATTTTGTGAGATTAAAATGTCTGTGGCATAATAAGCTGCCATTCTTGTTCTGTTACAGTAACACATTCCATCCAAATGGAGGGGGCCAACCACAAGATACAGCAGGCTCAGGAGACAACAGGTGTTTTCCTGCATGACTGACTTGGCTCCAATATCTATCCTGTGCACCAGCTCACCCCCTGCAATTGTGGGTCATATTTCCCTAAACATCCACTAGAGCCCATGAGACATTCCAATACTAGAAGAACATGGGCTATACAAAAGTACATAAATGGACTTGGTGAACAAGCAATGCATTTCTAGGCAATGGTTATGTATCTCTTGAATGGGGCTTGAAAGTTGTTAAGTAGAAGGGCTAGGGTGTTTAACTACCAGAAAAATGTAATTACCTCAAAAGACTCTGCCTGGACAGCCATAGCTATGATCACATTCAAGGCATGCATTTAAATAAGGGAAACCACTAAACACTTGCATTTAATGAAGAAGATAGAAACAGGCATAACAAATTGTTTGTTGATTTCCAAAATGAATTAATTACAAAATACACCTCTTATCAAGATGCTTGCTTGTAAGAGGTAAGAAAGTTGGCTACTCGTGTTTGTATTTTACTATAATGCATTGGACAGTCACTAAGAATGAACGCCCCCCCCAAACAATTAAAGTATGGTCAGAAAACACATAATGGCTTACTGCATTGTTGAATTCGCAGAAGGATCATCATCTGTGGCACCAGTCTGCAAAGAAAAATGGTCTTCTGTGGGTTGGATTCCTTTTTCTTTTTTCAAGTTAACAGATTTTAAGGCCATCTTGCTATCCACATCTCCTAAGCCATCTAGTTGGTCAGCCGCATTTATTATTTGATCCTCTTCACTCACAGAAACTGTGAGGTCACTGCTGGTATCTAAACTTTCATTCTCCAGCTCCTGTATGTCTCCAGTGGGCCACAGGTTACCTGTATTATGATCTGAATCTGAAATAAAAAGTGACAAGTATTACCAGCATATTAACACTATTGCAACAAAATATATGTAACAGTACTGCAAGGGGGCATAGATACTGTTTAACACATTCACCAACTTCACAAGAAACATGTCATTCATACATTATAAATCATCTGCCATTTATGCAATTTTTTTCAGGAATCCCCTAGGCATACCCATTTTCCATTTGTTCCATTAACATTCTGGCATAGTGAGATGGATGCAACTGTCTGAAACCTACCAATATGGTACTTGAGTCTTGTAGAGAGGTCTTACAGAGCAACGCAAACTGCTCTCAATAAGCAACACGATCTGCTCTCAGATCACTTGTTTTGCTGTGATCAGAGCTCTTCCTGATTTAGAGAGAAGGGAATAAGTTTGAGCACTGTACTTGATTTTGTTCTTAAATCATAGGTCACACTATGACAGTCAGACAAGGCTTGGAAAATCCACTTGCTGAAGGGGAATATGAATTATTCTCACGTGAATGCCACTGATTTCCGAAAAATAAGCTCTAACTCTCCAAAAGGTGCTACTCATAATGCTTGCACAGATGACCTTTCAAAAACAGGAACTGTGACCAATGGAAATCCAGATTTTCCACAATATACAAATGCACTCACCTTCATGCTGCTTAACAGAGGTGCAGGGGAAGGGGGAGGTTAGGAGGCTTGGTGCTTCTGCTTGGTGGGGAGGTATCAAAAATAGCCTTCCCAACAGAATGTAATTTACTCAGCTAGAAAGTAGGGAACCTGATCGCAGCCAGTCTCTAAGCTAGCTGGAGTCTCGTTGTTCCTTAAGGCACTACTGCTTGTTCTGGGGCACACTGGGGATTAAACCTCAGTCCTCTGCCACCCTACTGTAGGGGAGGGGACAGAATAAAGATGCATCTAATAGTAGTGAGACAAAGCCTAACATTAAATGTACTAGTACAATTGACCAGCACAGAGTTAAACTGCAGTAGCGGGGAGGCACAGCATTCATATATATTTTGGGGGAGTGGGAGAAGAGGAGAAGATGATTGATTCTCGAATAGAAGTGAGCAGGTATTCACTGAGGACTGAAGGATCAGCCAGCTAGAGACCAGGGTCCAAAAGCCCATGCAATTAGGAGTACCCATTACTAACCAGCAGAAGACCATGCTGAAGCATATGGCTAAAACCACTTTTTTATTTCAATCTGCCAAGTAGACAGTAGGCAATCTTTTCCATGAAACACTGTATACAGCTCTCTCAAAGATACTTTAAAAAGACTTTAGCCCTTCTTTCCAGTAACCCATTGACAAGCAGTTTATAACCCTGGAAGTAAATATGGGGAAACTCAATCAGAAATGGACAAAACCCAGTATTTTCCCTATATCTACTGCTAAGAACACAAACTGCTACACTTGATCTTAGCCAAAAGGCCAATGTACCACTAAATCAAAGCTTATTTTAATGACAGACTCTCCAAGATCCGACAAGTTTTCTTTAAGAGAGAATGGCTTCCCAACTGATAATCACATGCAGCTTTTCACTTGCCTGCCTCAAGTTTGAATACAAAACCAAGAAGCTGGCAGCAAGCTGATTCATTTTATTATTTTGATATAACGCACGTAACATTAAATGTGTTGTTGGCCACAACCCAGTTCCTAAGAGGCAGATGTCCACTTTACAAACAGCACTTGCACAACTTGTTAGTCTACCTCAAGAATTTTAGTAGAGAGTCTTTTTAAGATCTGAAGATTGAATCATTCTTTATGACAAAAAGTAGTCCTTGCAAGGCAAAGCCGAAACAGTTATTCACTCCCAATTGATCTGAATCAAGAGCTGTCTTTGTGTCTTTAATACATTATTTTCAAAGTCCTACAATGGATAAGACACTAAGGCTGCATCCAGCTGAGCATGGCCATGTGGCACGTGGTGCTGCAATCATGTCCTCACATTCAGATGTTCCGTGAGCTGCAAGGGAGTGCTGCCCATGTGTGCGCTTCTCTGCTTTTTATTCCCCATGGATATATTTGACCCCTGGTTATCCAGGGGTCAAGAAAACCCATGGGGGAAAAAAAAAAGAAGCAAAGCAGCGCACACCACTCAAAAGCGGAGCTGGGCCACCCAGAGCCACACTGCAGCTGCTGGCCAGGCTCTGTTTGACAGAATTGCCACTGCTGCAGCCCCAGGAGGCCTCCAGGACCTCAGGTAAGGCTGCTGGGCCAAACATCCGTGAACATGTGGACAGCAGCCTAAGAATGCACTTCTAGAAAGCCTGCACGTAGTTCTGTTTATAAAAAGTTTCAATTTTGACTCCAGTTTTTGGAAAATGTCAATCTGTTGAAACAAGAGCTTTGTAGATGATTCTCAGGTGCTTAGGCTTAGGATAGCATTTCTGGCTCAGTTTTGTTCCAATGCAGAAGAGAAAAATGCTTTGAAAGCTCATACATTTTCACAGACAACAATTTCTTTTCCAACTCCACACACACGTACATTTATGGCAAGTAGGTTACTCTTGATGTACTATACTTACTCTTAACCCCACAGACACTTTTCCTACGGACCAGTCTTTCTCTGCTCTTCGGAGAAACTTTTCTGTGACCTGTGTCCCACCCCACAGAAATACTCACTAGTGCTGCTGTTTACAGGGATTGTCCTAATGGAAACATGCTTATTGTGCTTTTCTGGCCAACCTGGAGACACTTCAATGCTTCCCAGAGCCCTCCATCTGGTTTCTTCTGCTCACAGTCACTTGGGTAATTGCTTGTGCAGTTTCCCACTACAAAATTTTGCCAATAAGGAGAAAAATCTCAGTGTGCTTCCAGTAGCTCCACAAGAAAAGCCATTTCCTCAACACTTTCCTGATGCCCAGCTTGCCCATCTGCTGCTTAGCAGAGACAGGGAGTTAGCTGTATTAGTCTGAAGTCTACCCTACCTTTTATCCACTATTTAGTCATCCTTCGTGGCGTCTGTGTGTTTTTCTATGCTTTCCTCACAAGGGGGAGTTCACTGGGCCTCCTGAGTCTGCTTTCATGCTGCTGGCCTCTGGGCTGCAAGTACAGAGATCCTCCAGAACTCAAAACAGCCACAAAGATGGAGACAACCTACTGCCCCAAGTCTCCTCTCAGAGATAATGGAGGAGAAAGGCCTGAAAAACTGTCTTGGGGAGGGAGCAGCATGCTGGAAGAAAAGGCAGCTGCTGTCTGAGGCTTCTAATCCATGCAGGAACAGAGATCCCTGCCTGCAGGCATGGAAGCTTTACACATTAGCTGCCTTCCCTTACTGCTCATGAAGCTGCATGAACACAAGTAAATAAGCTCTACATACATTTTCCTTTTCTGGTATATTTTCAGAATTTCAAGAGAAGGAAGATATCAAGTGATTTTGGAATTAACAAACATGGCCATAAAAATTCTCAAATTCCCACAAAACTGACTACAGTAAAATGTAGGTCTGAATTCACCAGAGTGTTCATGAGGTCTTGTTTGTGCTACCAAATGCAACAGTTTCCACCTCTCTGTTCACTGTGCAACATGTTGCATGGAATTAACATTGATTTAAGAAAAGCAGCACTGACTATAAATAAAGACATCTCATATTTGTGGGGGGAGAGGGAGTTCAGTATTCCTGACATGAGTAAACGCGAGTCATAACTTATACTAAATGTTGCTTTTACACATTTTACAGCAACATTAGCAAATAGCAGCAAAGTATCAATTGAAAAAACTGCTTTAAGTCACAATGTGCACAAAGAGCTACCATTTACAGCATAACATATGCTCAGTTGTGGTACACATGGCAGAGCCAGCATCTTAATCAACTCCCCATAGTTTGCAGCATGAAAAATCAAACTTATGAGAGCCGGGACAAGACAACTCCCATCTCGGTCTTCGGGCCTTCACTGTTTAACGTCTTCATCAGCGACCTGGACAAGGGAGTGGAAAGCACACTGTCCAAGTTTGCTGATAACACTAAGATGTGGGGTGAGGTGGACACACTTGAAGGGAGAGAGAGGCTGCAAATAGATTTAGACAGACTACAAAAGTGGGCAGATGAGAATAGGATGGCGTTCAACCTAGACAAATGCAGGGTGCTGCACCTTAGGAGAAGGAATCCACAGCATACATACAGGCTGGGGAGTTCCCCTCTTGAAAGCACAGGGATCTCGGAGTCATTATCGACTCCAAGATGAACGTGAGCCACCAATGCCAGACCACAGCTAGCAAGGCCAGCCATACCTTGTCATGCATCCAAAGGTGCATCTCAAGCCGGTCCAGAGAGGTGCTACTCCCTCTCTATGCGACTTTGGTCAGGCAGTTGGAGTACCGCGTCCAGTACTGGGTGCTGCACTTCCAA